TTCTCAAGGTCGGTACTTCACCAGCTACCAGTCCTTCCAATCTAGTAGCTATTCCAGCCAATTATCGCATACTGAAGCGACGCTGATTGGACCGTGACATCTCTGAATTTCAGGCGGTGAACAATGTAAACGCCATCATCGGGCCGGCGCTGATCGGGAAGGATCCGACCGAGCAGACTGACATCGACAACTTCATGGTCCAGCAGCTCGACGGGACCTCCAACGAGTGGGGCTGGTGCAAACAAAAGGTACATATCATCATCGGTTTACTCCCCCCCACCTTGGCTATTTCCACTGTTCATACTGACAATTTCCTTTCTTTGGACGCGACGAAAAGCTCGGGGCAAACGCGATCCTCGCGGTGTCGCTCGCCGTGTGCAAGGCCGGTGCCATGGTCAAGAAGATCCCTCTTTACCAGGTCTGCAAAAGCTCAACTACCTACACAGGTCATCGGTTGAATTGCTACAGGATTTTGTACTGAAGTTAGTATCGTTTGCTTGCAGCACATTGCAAATCTTGCCGGGAACAAGACCCTCGTGCTGCCCGTGCCTGCTTTCAATGTGATCAACGGAGGCTCTCACGCAGGAAACAAGCTTGCCATGCAGGTAAGGATACTGCTTGCAGTTGCAGGTCATGAATGAATTTAGTTTTCACAACATGTTTCAGATAAATACGATGATTCTCATATAATTGTTGTATGTTGTATGTACAGGAGTTCATGATCCTCCCAACTGGTGCCTCCTCGTTCAAGGAGGCCATGAAGATGGGAGTTGAGGTGTACCACCACCTCAAGGTGAACACAGCATCTAACCCTTTTGATGATGTCTCTGAACTTCAGAAAATATGCAGTTGGAATGAATGCTGACACATTTTGTATGCAGAGCATAATCAAGAAGAAGTATGGTCAGGATGCCACAAACGTTGGGGATGAAGGTGGCTTTGCGCCTAACATTCAGGTAAAGCACATACGTTTCCCTGCTGCAAGTATAACAAGTTGTCTCAACTTATGTCGAATACGATGAATCCAAGTGCCGACAAACTTTTTTTTTTATGTCAAATAATTATTCAGGAAAACAAGGAGGGCCTGGAACTGCTGAAGGCAGCTATAGCTAAGGCTGGCTACACTGGAAAGGTAAAAAAAAAATCTCTTTGCTTAGGTCATGGTTCAGCCATTTGATTTATTTATTGTTGCATAACATTAAATTTATCTACGTGTGGCAGGTTGTCATTGGAATGGATGTTGCTGCTTCTGAAGTCTACAGTGAGAAGGACCAGACCTATGACCTTAATTTCAAGGAGGATGTAAGATTTCCAACTTGCTCCCCTGTTCTCATAATGCTCAACTGCCCTTTGTGCAACTGTAGATACCTATAAGTTTGTTCAAGTAAAAATCAGAGCAGGCTTAGCATATTGTCTTAACATCATATGACTGAACTGAACAGAACAACGACGGTTCCCACAAAATCTCAGGCGACAGCCTGAAAGATCTGTACAAGTCCTTCGTCTCGGAGTACCCCATCGTGTCGATCGAAGACCCGTTCGATCAGGATGACTGGGCCACCTACGCCAAGATGACCGGCGAGGTTGGGCAGCAGGTGCAGATTGTCGGAGACGACCTTCTTGTCACTAACCCCACGGTAAGCTACATATTATCAGTATATCACTGGGTTTACCAGAGAAAAATATTTCTACGAGCTTGACCGATGCCTGTTTGGATTCTGCAGAGGGTTGCCAAGGCGATCAGTGAGAAGACCTGCAATGCCCTTCTCCTGAAGGTAGCACCATCAATCTCTGCCTGAATCTGCTGATTCTTTTTTCCAAGGAATAATAATAATGCTAATAATACTAGTTGTTTATGGTAAACAGGTGAACCAGATAGGCTCGGTGACAGAGAGCATCGAGGCCGTCAGCATGTCCAAGCGCGCCGGGTGGGGAGTGATGGCGAGCCACAGGAGGTAATAAGCACTGCAAATTTGGAATGCTTTTCAATTTGCATTTGCCATATGATCTGTTTGCACTGAACATTCTTTCTGTCATTTGCAGTGGTGAGACAGAGGACACCTTCATCGCCGACCTCTCGGTCGGCCTGGCCACGGTACAGCACCGCCTTCGGCTGGACCAGAGCTTGAAATCCTTTCACTTTTTAGTGCATGAATTCATGGTTAAGTGGTGATGGTCATATCTTTCTCCACTTGCTTGTTGCAGGGCCAGATCAAGACTGGAGCTCCCTGCAGGTCTGAGCGTCTGGCCAAATACAACCAGGTATATACAGTGGCGAGCGACACCATAGTCTTTCCACATGCTGCATGTTCTGTGTTCTGAGGCTTCTTGCTTGTGCTCGCTGCAGCTGCTGAGGATCGAGGAGGAGCTCGGCGACGCGGCGGTGTACGCCGGAGCAAACTTCAGGGCGCCGGTGGAGCCCTACTGAAAAGAAGGAGCCTGCTTGCTGCATAGGTCTGAAGGGAGATGGTCCACGAGTTCTTATGGTGCTGCTAGTTATACTATTATTACTGCTGTATTTTGATCCAAGCGTTCTCTACCCGAGAGCTAATAGTTGTGATTACTCGTACGCTTTTGCTGTTGGCCGATTAGTGGTGTGTTTCTGTTCATCTGAAATAAAACAGTTTATGCTCTTCTGACGAGTTTCGATAATTATTTATCAATAAACTGAAACAAACTGCATCCATAAATGAAAATCTATACCGCTTGGTACTTATCAATCAACTGAAACATCAACCGACAGTGCCTACTCTGCTTGCATACCCATCAATCAACAATACATATCGACCACGACATCAACATAATCAACCGCATTATAAAGGTGCAAGGCAACACAAGACATGAAAATGTCAGTTCCAACAAAACCATGCACAGTTGGGTGCAGCAATTCCTTCGCCCCATATGAACGGATGCACGATCAAATAAATACGGAGTGGCTCCTAACTTACATGTTATGTTACACGCTACAACAGCAGGAGATTTCGCACTAGGCGCGAGCAACAAGAAGCACCCTGGACACGTAGTCTTCGCCCTTCTGCTTGCATCGTTTCTCCAGACACCCTAAAGTTATCCAAAAGGCTTTCATATGAATAATAACGGCATCGGAGTAGGTGTTCAGCAGGCCACGAGGACACCGTCGTAATACCTAACTAATGGCTGCAGGACCAGGTTGAGCTATCACAGTGTTTCTCTCATTCTACTCGTGCTCCTCCAGTACACTCCAAATCATCCTGCAGACAAGCACAGAAACAAGAGGCAATTATGTTCCTTCTTTGCTGGTTCCACACTTGCAGTGATTATAGCAAATGATGTCTGTTATGTTTACCAGAACAAGGACAAGAATAGGAGGACGATAAGAGCAGCTATCTTAAAAAGACGGCGCTTCTTCTCCCGTGAAAGATGGTTAAATATCTCTGTCACATCTACAAGATGCTGCCGCCGCTGGTACCTGCAAAGACAAAAGGTTACACTTATACGCAACATATAAGACCAAGAATGGCACATGCAAAAAATTGCAGTGAGAACCTCCTAACCAAGTAGAGCTAATCATGAGTTCAAAAATGGATATAGTAAGGTTATATGTGACACCATGTGTTGTGGTAAAAAAGATATTCAGGTAGCACAAACAGTAAGTGCGCGAATAATCTGACAGCAGGTCAGTGTCCTGAAGTCCCAAAGTCAATATATGGAGACAAAAGCAGAATTTTAAAGGTGCAACTCCTATTCTTAGCATCTCTGCAGAGCATGTATGGCCAATTTTAGGTTAGGTATAATTTACAGCTGTATATGCCTAGCAGCTTGTGATTCCAACCAGTGACGCCATATTTGCAAGCCCATTAAATAAATCTACCTTTCAGAGATTTTCACACCAACTTACATGACGATATTGTAGCACAGTACTTAGGTGCATCCAAATATCGTAGGAAAATAAAATAATTTCCAAGAACTTAGATCATGAAAACACCTTCAGAACATTATGTGTAAAGTACAAAGACTGGAGCAGGAGAAGACTTGGGTCCTTATCTCTAAATATTTCTATCAAAACTAACAGTCTAACAGAACATAAAAATAGATGTATCAGTCTTCAGCACCCATTTCCCCACTTTCTTCTGGTTCTCAATTCTCATGTACAATAAGAAATGAAGCATATTACTATTTCGAACTTTCAGTTAATCTGTTAAACTATGCATGGTACGTTATGTAGCAGCTAATGTTCAATAAACAATATACTGACCACAGCTTAGAGTAACCATATCAGTCGTTTAAAAAATGTAAGGCAAACAGAAGACAAGAGTCACTTACAATGTATAGTTATAGTACACCATTGGGGCAGAAAGCAAGAACATCGCCCAATGCCCAGATAAGAGGAATAATGCACTTAGAAGTGCTTGCACTATAAATTCTGGCATAACCACTTTATTGATTCGAGAGGATGAATCAAACGGGTTGATATAATCGAACTCTAGATCTGCCAAGCACATCAACTGTAAAAGAAACATAAACCGTCAGGAATAAGAATAACTTTCTGGCTAATCTTACTTATGGATGTTGTTGATTAACATTAAACATGAGTAACGAGCCATGCAGATTCCACCTAAAGCAATATGAGCAAGGATGAACGATCCACTTCACATGAAACAAAAACAGTCAGATTCTACGTTTAATGAGGAACATTAGGAAATACTAAATGCCAAAGCAATTCGGCAATCAAAATCAATGGAAATACTCCTTCCGTATCAAAATATAAGACGTTTTTGCAATATAATTTGAACTGCATATCAAAATATAAGACGTTTTTGCAATATAATTTGTACTGCAAAAACATCTTATATTTTGATACAGAGGTAGTATATATCAATGACTTTCCCTCTGTCCTACAAGAAAATCAAAACTAGTTTGCTGAAATGTTCATCTCCCATGAATGGCGCACCTAAGCACTGAGGAAGTTGCAGCTAGAACCAACAATACAGTAGCAAAAGCTAGATAATGGAAGACAGAAAATGGAGTTGGGAAAAGTATACAGTAGCAAAAGAAAGAAGAGTTGGGCAAAGGTAGTACTCTGTTTATTCATTCCAGAGGATGAATCAAAGTAGTACAAAAGCTAAGATACTTCACCCAATTAAGGGCAAAGATCAGAAACCATTACCCGAGACTTAAACATGGGATGTTTGACATCAAGCAAGCTGCAAAGATATTCTAAGTTTATAACCATCCACTAGCTGATTCTGATCTCTAGAGGTATCATGATAGACCAACAAGTAGCAGGACAGAGGGTGGAACTCGTATAGCCCTACCAAACTGGGACAAGAGCATTGATTGCACATTTGGTGAACAAACAGCACCACAACAAAACCTTCAGTACGACCTTACAAAAAGAGATTCATTTACTGAACATACTGTGTGCTAAGTACCTAACAGAGCACCTAATGCGTCTACCAACAAAACAAATGAAATCGATTTTAAGCACTGAAACTGATTTTCAGAGCTGCAAGACTAAAAACGACGGTTGCCGGGCGTTAATTCTGGGTTACTACAGGCTAACGCAGGACGAACATGTGGAGATCTGGACGCAGAAACCGCGCACGAACCAGCGCCAGCAGCAGAAGACGCAGCGGCACCCAATCCCCTGGCGCTCCTCCGCCAGCCAGAAGCTCCAAATCCGCAATCCGCGCCTCCCCAAACCCCGGATCGCCGGAGAATTCGGCTCGGAGAAGGCACAAATCCGCCGCCCTCCCCTTCCCAAAATCTCGCCAAAATCGCCAGGGGGTTAACAGACGCCAGGGCGGAGATCGCGTCGGGCCTAGGGGCTCCGTACAGCCCGAGGCGGCTGCGAGCGGAGACGAGACGGGGCGGGGCGGGGGGTCTCTCTCACCTGGAAGATGACGAG